AAATCGGCTTGGCCAAGTTGTATGAGGACAGTAAAGAATGATCATGAGAGATTTGAGCAAACATACTTCTCTGCGTTTTAGGGGTATTACTTCACTGGGGATGGGTGCAAAAGAGACCAGGATGGCTACTACTGGCTAACGGGCCAGAGTGGATGATGTCATCAACATGAGTGGCCATCGAATCGGGACAGCAGAAGTGGAGAGTGCTCTTGTCGGTCATGATTCTTGTGCGGAGGCTGCCGTTGTCGGCTATGAGCATGCAATCAAGGGCCAGGGAATTTATGCTTTTGTTACACTGATGGAAGGAGTCAAACCCTCAGAAAGCTTGAAGGTCAGTCTGAGAAATGCCGTCAGGAATACAATTGGAGCATTTGCTTCACCTGACATCATCCACTGGGCACCTGGTCTACCTAAGACGAGATCCAGGAAGATTATGCGCCGTATTTTGAGGAAGATTGCAAGTGGCGAGCTGAGTGGACTCGGTGACATCAGCACACTTGCTGATCAAATGGTTGTGGATAATTTGATCAAATCCCGTGACCTGGCGTGAAGGATCAAATCCCGTGACCTGGCATGAAGGAAGTCGGTGCAAATCCAACCAATCATCGCGCGCTTTTGAAGTTTGAACCATAGCTTAGATAAGCATTCGTTGTATTGTCAGCAGCTGCTGCTCTCAGGAATTAGCAAGTGATCCTCTTGAGGATAAGCGCCTGGTTTGCGGATAACCAAATACGTTGATGTACGGGTAAATGGATAAGGTTGAGGGTCCAAACCCCTCTCCCACTCACATGCAAATGGATATAAGTGGATAAGTAGATCAGCCCATGAGTTTCTAAGGTGGAGGCTTCAAATCCCTTTCCCGCTCGCATGTAAATGGATAAGGGGATAAATAAGTAACTCGCTAGGTAGATCAGCCCATTGAGTGTTTTGTGCTCGGATTCGTCCTCTGTGGAGCGCTGGACGTTTTCTGTGGTGGGACTCATCTGGGTTCCAGGTAGGGGTCCAAATCCTTTGCTGTGTGCAGGTTAGTTCTAACGTCTAATTCACTGTAGCATGTTGGATTGTCAGATTTCAGCTCCGATGCTTATCTGCAAAAAAAGTTATCTCCTCAGGAATGCTACTTGTTCTAATAAGCTGAGTAGGGGATAAGTGGATTAGTTTCACCCATGAGGGGTTAAGTTATGGCTAAGTTTTGGATAAGTTTGCATCAGTTTCAGTTATGAGGGGGTAAGTTTTGATTCTACTTTTGGATAAGCATTGGATAAGTTTTTTTTTATAACTGTTTGGTAAGTTTTTGATAAGTTTTTGATGAAGTTTTGATTTTGAAAAAAAAAAAAAAAAAAAAAAAAAAAAGAACTGAAATCTCCCGTGTGGTCCCAGATATGGAGCGACGAACGAAAGCGGGAAGGGGGCAGGGCCTCAGGGAAGGGTCCTAACGACTATCTAATCCAAAAAATATCTTTGAACTCCGTTGCGTGCGGCGCGCTGTCGTTTACCAGGTAAGAAGGGAGGGGGATCGCACGTCAGATCGCGGTTTTGAACAAGGGACTGACGGCGTTTGTCACAAAGCTTAGAATCCAAGTCAGAGGGCCGCAGACTCTCTACTTTGTCTTTGATTTCCTCCTCACCACATGTCTGATAGTTAAATCCTTGGGCTTGAAAGCACTCCGTGCAGCGACAGTCGCTACACAGGATGCGAGGGCAATGGGGCATAACTGTCGGCCACAGGATGACAATCAACTAGTTGAAGGGATGCAAAATGGAGTAAGGAGGGAAATGAGTATCAAATTATCAACAATCACAAAACCCACACCGTGCTTCGGAAGGGAAGTGACAAGGGCTGCCGATCTTGGCGACGACTTCTCGTACGTCCCACTCGCAAACATGCGTCCTATCCTCGTTGCACGGAAAAGGTTGTGGGCGGGGAGGTTCGAGACGTTGATGCCCCAATGGCTCCGCTGGCTCAGTCCTTTTTTTTTTTTTTTTTTTTTTTTTTTGCAAAAACACACCCCTGCAGTGATAGTGCTGCTGGTAAAAGCTATCTTGCTGCTGCTGACGTCAACTGGTTGCTTTGTCATTTTGGTAGACTAGCCAGTAGCTGTACGATAGTAGTCTGGGCGCTGAGGGCCGATAGGAGGAAGAACTTTGAGTACATTGTTGGTCGTGGCGAGAGAGGGCTCTCATTGACAATTGAACTTGCTGCTTCGGTTCTCCTTCAGTGTGATTTCAGTGCATTTCTGCTTTCTGGACAGCTTACAACTATCTGACATTCAATGTGATTTTGCAATCTGGAATTCTGTCATTTCGCTATTGTGCATTTTCCTTGCATATTCCAAGGCGCCTACCTCTTTGTCTCTTTCCAATGCCTTGCGCTCCTTATCTGCAAATTTGACCCTGGCATATAAATCCTGCAGACAATGGGAGAAAAACACAAGGCAGAGGACAGCTGTGCGAAATCAATTGCGCACATGTTTGTTGAGAGCATACCACAGTGGCATAGTAGGTTCATGCCATCGTTTTATTTTCCCTTCCTTTTTTCCCTGCATGGATCCTCAGCTGCCAGATCTTGCCTTGTCCTGTGTTGATTCCAGGGAACTCTTGACAACAATTTACTTTTCCAGAACCGAGTGTGACATTCATGCCCCAATGGAGGAAGCGATTTCACAATAACTTAGCATGCACTGGTCTGGGTTTTCGACCAGGTTCCTGCTGAGTTAACATGTGATTCCGTTTAGTCAGGCCTGACCGTCTTGCATACGTTCGAACAATAGTGAAACCACCCGTCTGCAATGACTTGGTGATTCTGCAGCCTGTGGCCCGTCGCCTCGAGGCTGTAACATAGGTAGGCTATATTCGTCATTTTGTTTGGCTGAGGGCTAACCGAGATATCTGCCCTGTGGGGAAAATTCGTGAGGGACATATCTGTAAAAATTCGGGGAAAATTTCAGGCCCGCACTAACTCGAATTTCCTACAGCTACCCTAACTGCGAATAGCAGACCCGGGCTATCACTGGGACAGACGGGCCTACCGGCCTATGCTGTTAGAATGGTCCTATAGCCTATAGCCGGGTAGGGAGAGGCCGGTGAGGCCGAAACTGAAACGGTACCGGTCGGTCCAGTCAGTCCGGTCTAGGTCGAGTCTAGGCTAGAGTAGTTCTATTAATAGATTGTAGAAGTCTGTTCAGGGCTTTTGGCAGTAGGTACCGTGTACATCGGGACTGCGCAACGCATGAACTGGAGTGGTGACAGCTTCAGCGTTGGAGGAGACGGACATAGCCAGACCCTCAAAGCGTCGTCCATAGCTGGGACCTTCGCTGTTCTCTGACAGCACGCTGGGCTGTCCAGAGGTCTGGGCTATCTGAGGTCTGCTGGGCCCTCCGCAGGAGTAGGGTTTCAGGGTAGTGGCGCTGCAGCCATAGCCACACCTTGTATCCTCAGAGATCATCTTTCTCCGGAGAGGTGGCGCTGTTGAAGATCTTCACCTGGAAGGCCTTCTGGCACTTCATCTTCATTAGAGGCTGTGACGCTGGTCTTCTTCTTCATCCTCTGAGAGGAGCTTGGCCTCAGAGGCCTGTTTCAGGGTGGCGCTTCCCTCGGGAGTTAGTATCTGGGTGGCGCTGGTTGTTTCAGGGACTCAGGGGTAGTGATAGCAGTTACTCAGGGCTGGGGAGAGAAGCGCACATCACAGTTATGAGATTATTATTGCAAAATGAGACTCTGAGTTTAATAAACTGTGTTGACACTATGTGTGAACTATCTTTTTTTTTTTTTTTTTTTTGTTATTTAAGAAAAGGCCCTTGCGCAAGGCCTCTATCCTGGTGGTGATAAGAGAACCACCGGGATTCAGGCTTTGCCTGGCGGGCCGCTCCATCTATTGGTGGGGAGCAACACCTGCTGGAAACCGGGTCCAGCGTCCCCTAAATACATTTTTTACAAAACAGTGCATCATTTGAAAGTGACGCCATTGTGCTGGAAACCGGGTCCAGCGTCCCATATCCAATCTATTCTTCCATACCTGTCCTGCAGCAGGGTCGGGTATTGGGGGGAGAAACACCGGGGGGCACCAGTGGAGTCTCCCTCCATCCCCTAACCCCTGCCATCCATCTACTATCCTCATGGCGCCTATTGTGTCTTTACTGAACATTAGACTCATTCCTGAGAATGTACTGAGAAATCTATGCTGAGAATCTGGCTCAGCGTCCCATAAGATAAAAAACAGATAGTCAGGCCCCGTCCGGGCATCCCTTAACTGAATCATTTCAAACCAGATATTAATGGAAGTGGCGCAAAACCACATCCGTGACCTAATAAGCATAGATTGTGCTTAGAATTATATCAGATTAATCGACTCATGCATCTTCCCTCGGCCGCACCTCCAGGGCCCATGGATGGGGGGGAAAGGGATCAGCAAACTCCTGGGCAGGTTGTAATGGAACTCCCGGGTCCACTTTTGTCCAATCATGAAAGTGTAGTGCATAATCCCTTTTGAAGTTGGCCCCCTGCTCCTCCTGCGGAGTCATGTCGCCCGACCAGCACACCTTTGTCAGCCATCCCTCCCTTTTTCCCCCAAGCCAGTCCTCACAGAAACGGGAAATGATCCTATCAATATCTACCTTAGTATGCGCCAGGTTTAGATTGTCCTTCGTACTCTGCCATTGTGCAGTGATCTCGCACTGCACCAGTAGGCGCAATTGCTCCATAGATTCCCCCTCTTCCACCCTGGCCCCTTCCAATTCCAAAATGCATTTTCTCCACCATATCACCCACAGGATGGAACGCCTACCCAAGGCAAACATATTCCTCAGAAACGTATTTCCCTAAGACTGGGGGAAGTGGCCCAGTAATATGACCCTCCAGTCCCAGGGCCAGGGGGAATCTGGAATAATGTGCCGCCAGATTCTGTCCCACCATCGCCATAGGAGTACGGCAGCCGGGCACTGCAAGAAAATGTGTTCCACTGTCTCGGCCCTTTTTTTGGCAGGGAAATTCGAGAGGCACCCTCGGCACCAGGGTAACGCCTTCCCTTGTTGCTCCAATCGTGTATGATCGATCAGCCAATCGTTAGTAGGCTGATACCAGTGGGCAATTTGCCACTGTAGGGCAGAAATTTTGGTGGGCCTTTTCCGATATTCCTTAAACCACTGGATAGGCTGAAGTACGCTTCTATCAATATTGAGGTGACGATGCCACCTGTCCTCTACCACGTCTCTAAACCCGCGTCTAGGTCTAAGCATGCGATACGCCGATTTGGTCTTTAAGTTAGCTAATGCTACTGATACCGTCCTCCCTTTCCTTCCTGGACCTTTTCGCGTCCAAGTCCACTCCTCGGGGTCAAAGGGGAGGTCTTCAATCGGGGTCATTGGCCGGTACGCTCTCCATCCATTTGCCTCTTCTAACACTCTGATGCGATAGACTTCCTTTTTCTCCTTCCAGATGAACGGAGTCAGCTCCCCAGTAGCTGGCCGTTCTTGGAGGGGGAAAATAGCTCAATCAGCACTTGTACGTGATCGACTAGGTGTATCCTGCCTACCTGAGTGCCATGACCTGGTAGACCGACCCAGTCCCCCTCCTCGAGGGAGGGGCCTTTCTTAAGTGTGACATACCACTGGAGTGGAAAACTCTCAATCAGACTATCTAGCGCTGACTTCATGAGGTGATAATACCTCAGGCATCCGCGCATTCTATTACCTTTTTTCCACTCCCCCGAGTCTTTATCCCAAAGGTCCCCCACCTTCCTAATTCCGTGCTTCACCCACCCCTTCCATGAGGGGTCCGAGCAACATCTTACCTCTCCCAGGGAGTATGTAATTAACCTGTTATACCGAACAGGGGTTGCCTAAATACTTCCTCCCACCTTCTTGGAATTGCACGGTCCGGGATTGGGAGTTTCCTCCATGTACGGAGGAGACGTATCCAGTGTTCATCTGCCAGGTCACCATTCCTATATTTCCTTGGTAACCTCCAATACCTGTCCTCCAACCATACCAAGGGGTCGATCTCGGGAGGGGCCTCTGGTGCCAAGGCAGCGATCTGTGCCAAGGCTAGGGGGACCCAGGGGGAAGAGGAAGCAAAGACAATGTGTTGGAGCCAATGGATGCTAAGTGCCTGGAACTGTGTGGAAGGATCCACAATTCCGAGACCACCACCGACCTTAGGCTGGATAACCGATTCCCACGCAACCCGACTAATGGTGTGGGAATTGTCACAATCCCCTCTCCAGAGAAAGGCTGCCAACTAACGCTTGAGGGCCTTGAGCCCGTCTTTATTCATAGGCCACAAGATAGCCTTGTACCAAAGGGTGGCTAGGACGACATTGTTAATGACCAAAGCTCGTCCAAAAATTGAGGTATGCTTATGGTTCCAACTAGCCAGTTTAGCTTGGGCTGGTCTTCCTAGCCATTCATCGTTAGTATGTGGCTTACCTTTGGCCGTAATCGAGGCTCCTAAAACGCTGAGAGGGCAATCATGAGGAAGCCACTTAATTTGTGGGACCTCAGGGGATCTTCCCCCTTGGTGGTGCATCCACCAGCGAACAGTCTTTTGTCCCCAGTTCACCGTCATGTCAGAGATCCTACAAAAGCGGCACATCAGGGCTTGGATCTCAGCCATGTTTTGTGATGTTGCCTCAACCAAGATGGTGAGGTCGTCGGCAAACAAAGAGCAAATGGGCACTGCTTCTTCCGGGATATCTGTAATTTTGATGCGGGTGAGGTCTTTGTTGTGTCTCGGGTTAGCCGATAATGCCTCCATTATGACTAAAAAAAGGATCGGGATATTGGGATCTCCTTGCCTGACCGACCGTTGAAGCACAAAGCGGGGTACCACCGATCCATTCACCTAAACACACGTGTTAGCGTTTTTATGCAGGATTTTGACCCAACGTCGGAAGATCGGACCAAAGTTCATCTTATCTAAGCATTTGTTCAGGAATTCCCAATCTACATGGTCGTAGGCCTTCTCAAAGTCAATGAAAATAATGGCCGCATTTGCCTGACATCGCCGAGCGAGACATACCACCTCATTAACCAGCAAAATATTTTCCTGAATATTCCTGCAAGATCAAGTGTGGGCAACACTCCTCCAGATGAGGGAGGAGAAGAGACCGGGCATTGATGGATTCCCCAAGGAATTTTGGGAAGCAATGTGGTCGGATCTAAGCTCAGACCTGTGGGAGTTTTATCAAAAGGTTTGGGCGGAGGGAGAGATGGGAGAAGTGGTGGGGAAAGGTGTATTGTCGTTACTCTACAAAAAAGGGGACAAAATGAACATTAGGAATTATAGACCCATTACTCTCCTCACAGTTGTATATAAAATGCTTTCTAAAGCCCTGGCTAATTGTATGGCGGATGTCCTAGAGGATGTGATTCATTTGACCCAATCAGGATTCCGTGGGGAGGGAATTTGGGAT